CCGGTGAGGACTCTTTTTTCGGTGATGACTCGTGACGACACCTTAAAATTTTGAAAAAAAAATACAAATCATAAAATCGAGCATAGTACTACACCGGAGAGAAAAAAATTGGAAAAAAAAAAATTGGATCATTAAAATTGAACCATGGATCATAAAAAGTGAATCATAGATCATAAAAATGATCCATGCTTCAATTTTAATGATCCAAAATTTTTTTCCTATTTTTTTTCTCTCCGATATAGTACTATGCTCGATTTTATGATTTGTATTTTTTTAAGGTGTTTTCACGAGTACTCATCGAAAAAAGAGTCATCACACGATCCTGTTTCTCTCTCTCTCTCTCTCTCTCTCTCTCTCTCTCTCTCTCTCTCTCTCTATATATATATATATATATATATATATATATATATATATTAATTTTGAAAAAATAAAATAAAAAACCACACATATACTAAGTGTAACCGGAGAAACCTGAATCAAATTTAATGTATTCCCTATTTAATACATAAAATAACATTTTAATTACCTATTGCACAAAAAAAATCCTTGATCAATTCGGAGCAAAACACAAAGTTCATTGTTTACAGTATCATTTTCCTATACATATATATCACTTCAACTTTTGTAAAACAGATTTTAACTGAATACATTGTCTTGAAAATTCAAATTCAAAGTTCATTAGTAAGCAAAATATTTTTTATTAAACTTGTGAGGCTTCAGAAGTAATCTACTAAAAAGAGAGTCGAAACATCATATATCTATCATAAGAGCGTGAGGATAATTAAGTTGAAACTAATGGCAAAGTTTTGGAACTAAATTGATAGGAAGATTACAAATCAATCATATAGAGAGCTACAGATAGAAAGTTGATAACAACACCCATCTCTATCATCCATAAATCCTTATGCTTAATAAAAACCTTGTACAACTAGGTCAGGTTTGTCATTTCTATTAGTATATTGACTAATTTCATACCCGATTTTTCAGTCATAAATAATGTTGATCTACAATAATACAAACCTACAAATATTACATATTCTACCCTTGAAAGAGCTACACAGGTAACCAAGAGAACAATTTTTTTTTCTCTAGCAACCTAAAGAATGTGAAAAAAAAAGAACTCCAAACCGAAGAAATAAAAGGTCATCTTCGTGTTGTGTTCATTTCTATTTCTTGATTTGTTGACTCTATTAAATTTCCAAACTTTTCAGCTTCTCTTGCTATTTGAATGTCTGAAGGATTACAATGTTGCATAAACATTTTTATACCAAAACGGGGAACAATTGCTGCTATTTGAATCCCAAGTAAGCAAATCCAAAATGATCCTTTGCTTGCAAGATCAAATATTGCCCTGCAAAGATTATGTCAAATTCTTGTAAGTTTTTTTTTTATAAAAAAAGACATATTTACAAGATGACTAAGGTGTTAGAATCTTTTTGACTTAATGGGATAAGACTTGACCTTCTTTTTCAACTTAATGAAGAAATAACAACTTAATAAGCAACGTAAAGAAAATGAGGTTTTTCCCATTAAGTCCATATGGACCACCTTTCTACTTTGAAATTAGGGCAATTTGTTATTTCTTGCACTTAACCCAAATTAAAAAGGTTAATCTCATAAAAAGACTATATTTTGTGTTTTTTCCGGATCAAACCTCAAATTTGTTTTTTTTTTTTTGCCTCAAAAAGACTTTGTATTTTTTTCATTTTTTTCTGAAAAAAAAAAGCCCTTAACTTTGTTTTTTTTTTTTTCTCCGAAAAAAACCCTCAACCTTGTAAATGCTTCCAAATAAACCCTCAACTTTTTTATTTTTTCTCGAAAAAAAACCCTCACATTTTACAATTTTTTTAGGAAAAAAATTACTAAAAGGGCCAAGATCGAAAAAAAAAATGAAAAAATACAAGGTATTTTTCAGGCAAAAAATAAATTCAAGGTTTGATTCGGAAGAAACATAAAATATAAGGTCTTTTATGAGATTAGGGAAATTATCAGAAAAGTCCCAATATTTTCGGAAAAGTTTCACTTTAGTCCCAAAATTTCTTCTTTGAACATAAAAGTCCCGATTATTTCATTCTGGCTCAAATTAACAAAAAAGTCCTCTTTTTTCTTTTAACACGAAATAACATATTATCATGTAAAATCAAATAATCGGGACTTTTCTGTTCAATTTTTTTTTTCTTGGACTAAAGTGAAACTTTTCCGAAAATATTGGGACTTTTCTGACAATTTCCCTATGAGATGGGAGATTAACCCAAATTAAAACCAAAAACTTCACCCATATCATCATATGATATGAGTCATAAATTTTCGATACTTAAAAGATTTTCAACCTCAAATTCAAATCATTTAAAGAAATAATAAATGAAAACATACCAGTATCCAGGCAACACAGGGATCACATCAATGGCGATAACACAAACACAAGTCACAAAAATGGATCCCCAAATCGACACATGGCTAACCCAACTCCACCTAATAACATCCATAGCCAAATGAATATTCACCAAAAACACAACAGCAAGTGTCCAAAGATCTCCAACACTCGATCCATCAATGTCAGTTTTCCAATATGCAAACAAAGGAACATAGAACACAACTATACTTTGCCAAAAGGTATCCGCTATTGTGAGCCAAAATAATCGTGCATTATAGCGTTCGTGCCTTTGTCCTGCTCCATATAACTGAGGGTATTTTAGTAAAGATCTTCTGCTTAAATCTTTGTCTAGAATTGCAATGACTATTGTGGGGAGTGAGGTGTAGAGTACTGAATATAACACACTGCTCCATTCGGTTATGGCTGTTGTTAGGGTGAAGCCAGTGAAAAGGACATACCTGGAAAGAATTGTGTGTATGTTAGCAAATGAAAAACAGAAAAGGGTTTCCTAATTTAAGACTAATTGTATTGTATTGTGAATAGTGAATACAAACACTTACCAGAATAAAACAAGGACAAAAACGGCATTTCTGTAAAAATTATAGAGTATCATGTAACCCATCCGTTGGTAATTCCAATGTCCATGAACCAACAAAAGAGGAACTAGAAACCGGAATTGGCCCATGGCAAAGTCTGATGCCATTACAGCTTGACGCCCCTCTTGCCCACTGATTCCGATTCCGACATCAGCCATTTGGATCATTGAAACATCATTAGCACCTAAAAAACATTATATAAAAACATTTTAAGTCTGACCTAAATCAATATGAGAGAAAAAAGATAAGAATTTGAGTATTTAGCTCGGAAAGATTTATCCCAATTTTGAATGGATTTTTTCAAGTCTTCACAAAGCTATAGTAAAATCTTTATAAGATGTTGAATTTGTAAGAAAACTCATTGTTGTTTTATGCTTACAATGCGTATTACCAATTTCCGTTTCTTTTCATTAGATAAAGTGAAGTTAAAAAGGGAAATGGACAAAAAAAATGAATGAGGGCAAAATTTGTAGAAAGTTAATTAATGGGGAAACCTTATTTCCTTGAGTTTCTTTGTTAAGTCGTTCTTTCTTCATTAAGTAAAAAAGAAACGTTCATATATAGCATGCCAGATTAAGTTATTAATGATATTGTCATTAAGTATTAATTGCATTTGTATCATTATTTATATCAAAAGATATAATTTAACCATTCAACTTTCTTTTTTATTTTTTATTTTCTTTTACAACTTTAATTTATAGCAGTTCTCAAGTAAACAACAGCATCCCTTCCACACAACATGAGGATAAAATGGTCATTTACTTACCATCCCCAATGGCAAGGGTCATGTCATCTGTCCTATTCTTTATCAATGCAACAATCCCAGCTTTTTGCAATGGAGCCACTCGACAACATACTACCACTGCACAATTACTCGCTAATTGGAATAACTGAAAAAAAATATATTAAAAAACGTAAAAATTATAAAAGATTAAACTCAAAAAAAGGAAACATTAGGTTCAAAATTAATCAATAATCACACCTTTTCTTCAAGCTCAGTATCAAGAATATACACAAGACTGGTTCCATCAATAACCAAAGCAACAGAAGTCAAATCATCCGACACTACAAAATTCCTACATGTAATCAATCCATCTTCCAAACTCTTCCCACATGAAATTTTAGAGTTACAATTAATCACTATTTGGCTCATGTTACTTGTAAGAAGCCTAGAAGAGTATCCAATCGAAATAGCTGTTTCTTGTTTATCGCCTGTTAAAACCCAAACTTTTATATCTGCTTTCCTTAAAGACTCGATTGCTTCCGGGACACCTGTCTGCAATCGATCTTCGATTGCAGACGCCCCAACAATCTCAAGATTGTTTTCTAAATTAACCGCAACTTTTCTAAGCAAGGCCACTCTACCATTTACAGCAGTACTGGCAGTCTCGTAAGCAGACTGCCAGTGTTGGAATTCGGGAACACTGAGTTCCCGAATTCCAACAACCAGAGTTCGTAATCCGATTGAGGAATACGCCTGGAGATGGGATTCAGTGGCTCTTGTTATATCCAAGCTAAACGAATTATCAATGATTGTAAACATGGAAGTGTCTGCTCCCTTAACAATGACTTTTACAGTTCCATTAGGGTAACCTAATATCACTGACATCCTCTTTCGGTCACTATCGAATTCGTGCATTCCAAGAACATTGAATCTGTGCTGTCATGATTGGTAATTCATTAAATTAATAATCTAAGTAGACAAATATATATAAGGGTATTTATGTCTTTTGTACAGTTACTAACATTAACATATTACATACCTTTGTCTTTCTCCTTGAATATCGATAACTATGTGGCCAGAGGTTCGTTCCATAAGCATAAAACCATAAGCAGCTGCAGCATAAACAAGTGCTTGTTCATCTGGAGATTCCCCTTGATAATCTACCAACTTTTCAGTAGGATCAGATGTGTCAACAACAATGGGGACAATTGTATTACAAGCAGCCAATGAAAGGAAGAAATCATGAATCCGTTTGCTAATGCTATTGCTACCCTTTACATTATTTCCAATTTTTGATAACTCAAGTAGCTTCATGTCCACTTTTACCTTCATTTTTGGCCTCCAAATCTGCCCGTTTACTGAAACCAAATAAAGACATGAAAAGATTACACCCTTTTCGATAAAAGATTGATTGAGAAAGAAACAGAAGCATTAAATAGAGAAAAGTTTGCACCTTGAATGAAGTATCCATCAGAATCTGTTTTCTCCCCACTATAATCTACACCGAAAATGCTTGCATGTTTAAATTCCATCTTGTTTTCAGTTAAAGTACCCGTTTTGTCAGAGAACACATACTTTATTTGTCCTAAATCCTCATTTATATTCAAAGCTCGACATTGAAACCTAGAGTTTGATGATTCATCATACATCTTATCATCTCGGATCATGAAATAAGCCTGACCAACACGCACAAGCTCCATGGAAATATACAGTGAAATAGGTATCATAATCTGGAACACAATCACTGACATTAGAAAAGTGAAGAACACCTCCACACCTAAACCAGAATAGTTGTAGTTCTTCACTTGTGGTTCAGAGTAGTCTTTTTGTCTATAAAACTGTAAGATTTCAAGATCATTTTCATATCGGATCAACCAAACACCAGCACAGATTGAGACAGCTGTGCATAAAGCAACAAGAAAGATAGACAACAAGATGATCTCACGATTCATACGGGTTTCCAATCGGCTTCTTTTTGAAGGAGCTCCTGAGCTATTGAGCATGGCTTTTGTCTCCCTTCCTGCATATACAACTACTCCAATAGCCCAATTAGTGTTCTTTAACACACACCCACGAAGAACAATGTTTGAAGGGCCAAGTGAAAGATGCTTCCCATAGATCTCCATTGTTGCATGGAAGCCATAGATGTTTCTATTGGGCTTCTCACACTTGATTACCCCATTGATCCTGTCTTTTTCAGGGGTTTTTGAAAGGGTTTCTTGTTTTGCATATCGTGTCTTTAGATTTGATTCGCCATCTAGATTTATGGTCTGGATGTAGGCGACACCAGTTGGATCACTAGTGGAAAGAAGAACGATGTCAGAAGGAATGGTGTCATCTGCTGAAAATTTAATGATCTCGCCTACTTGAATGTCTTTACATTTTTTCTGTTCAAATCTATCGTTTACCAAAACAGATGACATTCTATTGTTTTCTATTCGATCTGATCTGTGTCGCCTCCAGTCTTCATAAGCATCTTTAATGGCTGTAACTAACAGTACGATTGATAATGGCAAGATGGAGGCACCTCGCCCAAAAACAGCAAGCTGAGGAAGCTGATTGAGAATGGCGATAATAAGGAAATATATGTAGGCGACTCTATGGAATTGCTCAAATAGGTTTCTAGGTAAGAAGCTAAAAACGGAATATTTGGCTGTTCTGATAGAATTTCCAGCAAATTCAAACCTTTCGTTTGTCTTTAAGGCATCGTTTACATAGACTAACCTTGCATCCTCAACGTTAATCTCTCTATGGGACATGCTAAACCCTTCGGGATCAGAAGCACCTCCTCGAGATCCATGCGATAGTCTCTTTGATCCCAGATTGACAAAGCTGAGTTCTTGGAATGAGTTGGCACTCCAACTTTTGGAATGAATCTCCCCTTGGGAAGAAGTATTTGGTGATGGCTGTTGGGAGTTATCATTAACAATCTGGGAATCATCTAAATTCATACCGGATTTAGATGATGGAAATTGAAGGCGTTGATCAGAAAGGGTTGATTTGTGGTGATGATCTGAGGAACATCACACTCGCCTCTATATCTCTCTTGAGATTGAACAGCTCATGAGCAATTCACTCTAAAATACAACAGCAGCCAAAACATATAGAAGATTGCATGCGTCTACAATGTGTTCGATGAAAACCCCAAGTAGAAAATTTGAAGTTGACTTACTAAATTAGTACATGGGAACTGAGGGTTTTTGAATCAACAGGAATAACTTACGTTCTTGAGCAAAAGCAACAAGGTAAAGATCCATGAAAGCTTATACCAGTCGATGACAGCGACGACCCTCTTGCGCAAAGATGATTGGTGCATTTATGATGTGAGGGGGGAAGATCCAAAGACATTTTACCTAAAATAGACGGAAAACTGGTAGTGGGTGCAACGGTGGATCGCAGAAAATTGGAAAAAAGGAATTGCCGTCCTATGAAGAAAAGAAAAAGGGGAGAGATAGTGTGGTGGAGTTGTTTAAGAAAAATAAAAGGTTTGGACATGAGATTTATAAATGGCAGAGTCAATCATGCATTCTTCCATGCCCTCCATCGGAAAAGAAAAAGTACCCTTTTAGGCTTTTATACCCATAACTATGTAGTGTTAAAGTAAATTAAACATTTGGTCTTATGGTTTGCCCAAATTCGGTCTTAGGATTTTTTGATAGGGATGGTCCTTGTAATTTGTATTTGCTTCACAGTTGGTCCCTGAGCCTAACGCCCGTTTATTTCCAACGTTATTGAGACGCATGTAGCCCTAACGTGAGGGCAAAACAAACATTTCCCTTGGAGCCTATGACCCTCATCGATTTGTTGCCATAATTAGGCATTAAATGAGATGTTGGTGTTGACCTTTGTTTCTCGTATTGTTGATGATCAATCCAAGAAACCCCATTTGCCATGTATAACCTCCGTCTTCGTATCATATGGCATTACTATAAGATTGCGATCATAATCATCTGGGAACAAATTCTTAAGCAAATCAAGATGTAACAACCCATATTATGGAGTATGCATACCACTAAGTGTGGATATGATGGAAGATTATAATAAGTTCATAAATGTGATCTTTTACCCTAACGTTTTATCTAGATGAGTTAGTGTTGACAATTTTTTTTTAATAGAGAGTTTTCCAAATATGTTTACATTGAGAATCAACCATGGTGGGTTTTTCACCATGGAAGAAAGTATGTAGATGGAAAGGTGATTTACACGGAATACATTGACATAGAAGATTTTACTGTATACGAATTGAAATTTCATGTTGAGAGAAATAGGGTATGTCAAACCTGGACCCATTTACTATCACTTTTGCATGCCAGAGGCCCGCCTAGACTTTAATATTCAGCTGCTTGGCAATGATCACGATGTCATTACTTTCTAGGTATGTTGCTTAGTGTAAGCAGATCATGATTTACATTGAGCATCGACAAACACAGATATAGTCATATTATATGTCCCTGTAACACCCATCCCGATAAGGTTCGTTTTTTAACCCTAAATATGTTAAGTTTGCCATTTTGGTATGTACCGTGCGTACTCGGAGTGTACGCATGGCGTACTCATGCATGAGAAAAGCGGGACTCGCACACGTACGTCGAGCGTACTCAGCAGGTACGCTGCGTGTACGCTGTTCAGATCAAAACCCTAGTTTTGAGGGTTTGCACCCTATATAATCTCCTTATGGCCCCAATACCTTCACCCTCATCATCCTCCACCTAAAAATCATCCCTCTAGCTAACCCTAAGTGTGAAGAGTGCATCTTTGAGCTCATTTGTGTGTTTTGGTGGTGTTCTTGAAGAAGAAGAAGAAGAAGAAAGTGGTAGAAGGACATTGGAGCTTGGAAGAAGCTTGGATATGGGATTCTCACCTTACTAGCAACCTTCTGGAGGTAAAAAGCTCCTAGCTTGATCATCTTTTTTTATGGATCTAGTTATTTCTTCATTTAAGGCATTTTTTGTCCCAAGCTTTGTGATTCTTGAGCATGGCATGCTCTTAACCAAATAAGTCGTCCTTTCAGACCCAATGATGGCTCTTGAGTCATAAAAATGAGATCTTGACGCTTAGTTCTTCCCCATGCATGCTCTAGAAGGTCTTTAGGTGTTAAGAAGTTAAGTTTGTTGATATTAAGCACTTAATGGGCATGCAAAGTCATAAAGTTGGAAACTTTATGACTCTCAGTGGTATTATGGCCTTGGATCTACATTTGGAACGTGGGAGCTTAACGTATTAAGCTTATATTAGGGAAAAGGACTTTGGTGTGTACGTTGTGTGTAACCCAGCATACGCCGCGCGTACAGGGTCAACCACCCGATCCCGGTTGAGTACGCCCAACGTAGGAGTTGAGTACGCCCCGCGTACTTAATTGAGTTGACTGAGTTGACTCGTTGACCTTGACATTTTACCAGAGTTTTAAGCAAGTTGGACCTAGGGGTATTTTGGGTATTTTGAGCTGTTAATTGATATTAGGTCCTTGGTTTTGGTTAGGTGATCTTTGAGCCGATTTTTCAGAGCAGAGATTTATTTAGCTTGCATTCCGACTAAGAGTTGAGTTTTCCTCACTGTACATGCGGGTTAAAGGCATCAATTCCGGCCCAGCAGATTATGTATCATGTTATAGGATGTTGATATGTTGTAGTTGTTGGATTAGTGTAGTTGTTTTTAATCGAGTATGAGAATCAAATCAGAGTAAATGATGAACACGATAAGTAAATAAGGTCTGGTTTAGCTCATATTACTGTCAAAGAACAAGAGTACAAAACTGATATTAAAACATGGAAAAACTCTACTATCAACTCTATGTCCAGCTCCTATTTATAGGAGGCTGAAAGTACAAAAAATACTAAGGCTAGACATTACCCTTCGTTAAAAGAAGCCTTAGCAAATACATCGAAAACATACGAAATTGACATATACACAGACTTCGACATATTACAAGATATTTCGACTCTACAATCTCCCCCTTTGTAATCATGTCGTACTTCTCAATTCGTGAGAATCTGTGCAGCAAAGTGCATCATCCTTCGTGTCGCACCCCCAAACCAGAACGGCGGAACGTTCAGGGGCAGAGGACTTAAGGTAAGTATCACAACACATGCAATATAGTAATCAAAGTACAAACAACCATTGTATTAATAAGTATAAGTTTTACACAAGTGTTTAAACATTACATATTCAAACACTAAAGTAGGTACAGCAGAAGACAAGAGTCGCGGTACGGTACTAGGTAGTCTTCTCAAAAGCTTCGGGAGTGTACCTGTCTACTGGATTCCTGAGAATACAAGTTATTTGAAAAGAGTTAATCAGCATTTAAGCTGGTGAGTTCATAAGTATTTTAGTTCTGTTAAGTATACCCTAAGTTCTTCGAATAAGTTCACTGGTTTCTCTAGGAAATCCTATATTTCCTGAGGTGATTAACTGATAACCTCAATAGTTTCCCTCTGTAATTACTTAGTTTATACTGATTATATATAACCCAATATCGAATGGACAGTCAAATGGGTATATCTGCCCTAAGCCCACAACCAAACAAGGAACAGGAAGTAAGGCGGAAGTCACACATTTCATTGTCAAT